TCCTACCTGCTGTAACGTTCCTTGTGTGACTAGGCTACTGATTTTTCAAAGCTGGAAGGCACTGTAGTAGAATGTCAACTACTAAATGTAGAGGGAACAACTGAGGTAGAAAAATCACCACTTTTCAACCACCCAACTCATAACTGATTCAGGCAAGGAACATGAATGGATGGTAAAAGTGTCAAAGTCTCCCTGCACAGATCGCTTATTACAAGGAGAAACCTGGCGGACGCCATCTGAACCAAGTCTGCAACTCCAAGAAGAGGAGAATGCTACTACCATAAACGTACAAGCCAACTCCAAACACAAGGAAATATCTGAAAAAAACAAATTAAGGGATGTTTTGCAAAACTGGCCTGGACTCTCCAAAAGTGTCAATGTCATGAGACGCAAAGGAAAAACAAGGAATGACTCCAGATAAAAGGAGATTAAGGAGATGTGACCAGTAAAGTCAATGGATAATCTCAAATTAGATACTAGATGAGGGGAAAAAAACTGCAATGAAAAACAACATTGGGACAAGTGACAAAAGCTGAATACTGACTGTATATCTGACAATAAAGTTTTATCAATGCTAATTTTCCTGAATTTTGTGATTGTAATATGACAAAGGGAAAGTCTTTGATCTTAACAAGTACATGCTAATTTACTTGGAGAAATCAGCATGAAGAGAAGACAGAAATAAAGCAAAAGTGGAAGATGAAGAGAAATGGGTTAAGGTGTACAAACATACAGTTCAACAGAAGTAGTCAGCTCTAATATTCAACAGTGTGGTAGGGATTCTATAGCTAACAAGATTTACTAAATATTTCAAAATAGCTAGAAAACAATTCAAATATTTCCAACACAAAGAAAAGAAAAATGTTTAAGGAGACAGATAACTCAAATGCCCTGATCTGATCATAACACCTTATATACATATATCAAAATATCACGATACCCCACAAATACGTAAAACTATTGTATATGAATAAAAAGAAAGCAAATGTGTGAAAATGCGAACTGAGGACTGAAGAGAGCCTAAGTTCTCTGTACTATCCAAGCTGTTCTTCTGGGGTCTGAAATTATTTCATTTAAAAAAGTTAAATTTATTTACTAAGAGACAGGGCCTCATTCTGTTGCACGGGCTGAAGTGCAGCAAATGACCACTGCTCACTGCAACCACCACCTCCCAGGCTGAAGTGATCCTCCCACCTCAGCATCCCAAGTTGCTGGGACTACAGGTAAACCCCACAACATCCAGCTAATTTTTTTTTGAGATGGGGTCTCACTATGATGCCCAGGCTGGTTAAAAATTTTAAGAAAGATTAACATACGATTTCTGCCCATAAGGATGTTATACTCTACTGAGAAACAGAATACATTCCAGTAAATATAATGAAAACCTTTATAGTAAAATATTATCAAGTTTGGTGGAAGACATTTCTTTCGTTAGGAATTATCAAAGTTTCAGAGAGAGAGATGATCTGAGCTTTGAAAGATGGGGAAGAAAAGCAGTTTATATCACATAAAAGTGATACAAAGTAATTTCCTGATTATCTGAGAATATACTTCCTAGAGTAATCATGACGAAAGAAAGAAAGAAAGAAAGAAAGAGAGAGGGAGATAGGGAAGGAGGGAGGGAAAGAAGAAATATTTGTGGAAATAAAACTAAAACTACTGGCACGGTGATGATAGTTCCATATTAGAAGGCAGTTGTTCTCTGGAACTACACTGTAACCAGCCTACCACCCTAACTGTGTTTATAATCCTGTCCATATTAGAGGTTTATAGTTGATTCGTCTTCAAACAAGACTAGGATCTGATCAGCTTTCCTTCCTACCTTAACATCTTGCATAGCTGAGACCAAACTGATGGATAAAACCTGTTTCAGACTCAAGAGCACTGTGTGTTTATTTTAGCCAAAACCAGAAAAAATGATGGGTCTTAAAACTGGTCGTTCAGGGCTTGACTTAACTCAAGGACTAAGGGATGAGCAAAGATGTGAGGAAATGAACACCCAGCAGTAGAGTGGTTTGGCCTCCACCTGAGGGGCTGTGTTAGCACAAGTATGAACCTGAGATCAGGAAAGGTGGCATACATCTTCACCCAGGTGTGTCAGCCTTGCTGTTAGCTGGAGTTCTCAATAACAGAAGCTGAGGCCCCTTCCATTCTCCTTACTCTTGCTCGAAGAGAACCATCCTTGGCTCTGTATCCTCTCTGCCTGGGGAGACAGTAAGCATATCCTCCCCTTGAGTCAGACATCTGGCTTTGCCACCTTTAATGAGGGACTATACCTTCAGAGAAAAGTAATGTAGGGGATAAGGGATCCTCAAGTCATGTCTTATTAAAACAAGTATCATTTTTAATTTGATCTTCTTCATCAGCATGGGACTCGGCACACTCTGCTGTTACTTTGGACCAAGTAGAAAAGAATTTTAGGGCCTTTTATTTTCCTATGGATTCTCCTTGTAACTCCAGACATGTTATGCTTTCCCTAACTTTTATCTGTCCTGTGTCCTGAGGAACGAATCAGAACTCTGGAGGGAGGATCAAACACAGCTGCAGATACTGATAGTTCATCTTACCTCTGACCACAACCCCCTAGAGCTAGTAAAGAAACCAGAGGATTCACAAGTCTGATCAGACATGTGACTGACTATAATCTTATTAACATCCGGCCTGTTTTATCCTATACATCCTGTAGCACGTAGCACATACTTTGTGCTAGTAAATTTGTTTGTGTTGATTAAATATTCTAGGCTAATACTGCTGACATACAACTTTAAGAAATGGGAGGTTAAGCCGGGCGCTGTGGCTCATGCCTGTAATCCTAGCTCTTAGGGAGACAGAGGCGGGAGGATACCTTGAAGCCAGGAATTCGAGACCTGCCTGGGCAATAGCGAGACCCTGTTCTCAAAAAAATAAAGAGAAAAGAAATGGGAAGTTAAAGTCCTACTAAAAACTATTCATTCCAGCATAGTCAACAGAGAGAGACAGGTATATATATTCTTTAATTAGCTGGGTGCCAGGAGACAGAGGCAGGAAGACTGCTTGAGCCCAGGAGATCAAGACTGCAGTGAATTATAATCATGCCACTGTACGCTAGCCTGGGCAACAAAGCAAGACCCTGTCACCAAAAAAAAAAAAAAAAGTTTCCTATGAGTACATGCTTACAATGAAGTACGTAATTTTTGAATGCTAAGAAATATTTTCCTCATTTCTGGAAGTGAAAGCGCTTCTATGTTTGTAGAGTTAACATCTTACTTGCCTGTAAAGGAGTATATTTGACATTTACCAGAAAGATGATGGCAAATGACAGAGCTTTGGTCAGGAAATTATACATTTGCTGATTATTAGGGTATAAGTCAATCTGTTCAAAACCTTACCTGACCTAATGCCAGCCAAGGAAGGCAGCAAGCAACCTGAAAGCAAGAAAAATGCAGCCGTGTCCATCTAGACATGAGAAACCCCTCTCATCAAACATGCTCTGTGTAACTGAGGTATAAAAAACTTTAAGCTGGCTGCAAAGAGTAGCTCCCATCTGTAATGCCAGCACTTTGGGAGGCTGAGATGGGAGGACTGCTTGAACCCAGGGGTTCAAGGCTGTCAGTCAGCTATGATCACATCACTGTACTCCAGCCTGGGTGACAGAATGACCCTATCTCAAAACAAACAAACAAACAAACAAACAAACAAAAAGTAATCATCCTGGTGAAATCCTCTGTATGTATTATTTCTAGGACTTTGAGTTTTTTGTGTGTGGTTTGGAGGGGCAAAACAAATTTCTTCTGTCAATGAAACTGTTCCTGCTTTCAGTGTGAGCAACAATGGTTTAAAACAGCAACAAAAACTGCCCACAAAACACCTCCTTCTCTTTACTGTCTATAAAAACCAAAAGGTTTTATGTGAAATTTGCACACAGAAGTCACCCAGAGTCCATTTATTCACTACTGATGACTGCGCTTCCCTCAGACAGGCCTCACTTTCAGTAGCTCCTCTTAAGAATGAGACTGAGGTTAAGATTTTTTTTTCAAGAACCTATATTTGGTTAGTCTCTCTCTCTCTCTCTCTCTCTGCGTGTGTGTGTGTGTGTGTGTGTGTGTGTGTGTGTGTGTGTCTCTCTCTCTCTCTCTCACGTATGCATGTGTGTGCATGTGAGAGAGAGAGACAGGGTCTTGCTCTGTTGCCAAGGCTGGAGGGCGGTGGTGCAATCATGGCTCACTGAAGCCTTGACTTCCTGAGCTCAAGCGATGCTCCCACCTCAGCCTCCTGAGTAGCTAGGGACTATAGGCACATGCCACACCTGGCTAATTTTTTGGTACTTTTTGTAAAGACTGGGTTCTATGTTGCCAAGGCTAGTCTCAAACTCCTGGCTTAAAGAGAGCTTCTTGCCTCAGCCTCCGATAGTGTTGAGATTACAGGTGTGAACCACCACGCCCAGGAAAATTTCTCACTATAAACTCAGCAGCAAAGTCAAATAAAATGTGTAATGACTGACTTACAAGGTGACACACAGTGACTTATGGCAAAATTGTACGTCTTACTGAACTTTAAGTCTACTGGTTTGTCATACACACTGACTAACAAAGCAGTTAAGCATCATTCTCACAGATAAAATATTAAATTTGAAATGATAAATACAATAGACACAATGTTTAAATAGCTACTGATAATGTGTGAGTTCTCTAAATGGTAGAAATCAACACTGTAGAGCACTGCTACTCAAAAGTAGCAGGTCATCAAACTATTACCATCCCATGACAAGATCTGGAGTCTAGGCCAAAATGTCATCAACACTGAGAAAGTCTAATTATGAAAAAAATAACTGCACTAAACAGGGTGCTTAGTGATGCAGGCTGATTTACATTCCAAGGCAATCTTACCATCTTGTCACTGACAGGTGAAAAGTTTGCACACAACACATGAATAGCCCAGTTTTAAAGTATGAAAGCGCTCGTTTAAGAGGAATGTATACAGGTATCATCGGTTTTCACAAAACACTGAAAATCTGTAAATACCTGTTCCTGTAGGTCGTAGTCATAGCTGTCATGCAGCAGAAGACTGAGGACATACCGAGTGTAAATCATGGCATCAATGCCACATTTCTCGAGCTCTTGTCCCAGCCAGGTCTGCACTGGACCCAAAGCATGAAGCAGAGACATTTCAGAAACAGACACAGGGCCTGGATAAGAACTTGAGGAGCTTTCAGATGACAAACCATCCACAACAACTGTACAGATAGGGTACATGAATTTAGGTTGCCGACATCCTTAAAATGTGAAGCATTTTCTGCAGTTGATATTCTGTTGGTATCTGGAGGGGATTTTCACTCCAGTAAAAAGGAGAGATGCTTGACATGTAGGAGAAGCATTTATTTTTGCTGGTAGTCAGCCACCTAAAACAGACTTTCCCTCTTCAGGCATGACCAATCAATCAACATCCTGATAGCAACAGACATGTAGATGGGATTTTCTACTTTAATTTCACATTGAGGCCAAATGGAAGTCTCCGGCAGAACCTACAAAAATGAGAGAGGAGAAAGAAGTATGCATTATATATAGATAACTAATAAATTGTTGACCATTTGAGGGAAAAAAAAATCAATGAACTGTCCTTGTTTATTAAAATATTTTTGGTATCTTAGAACATAAATTTTTTCCCCCTATAATCTTTGACATTTTATACTTCTAAAATGAAGCCAGGCACTGTGGTACCTCCCTGTATACCAGGCAACTCAGAAGGTTGAAACAGGAAGAAAGCTTGAACACAGGAGATCCAGGCTGTCCTGCACCATGATTATGCCTGTGAATAACCCTGCACTCCAGTGTGGGCAACATATTGAGACCTTGTCTCTATAATTAATTTTTTAAAAACTTAAAACAACACTGTGAACTTTTAAAAGCTTAGTATCATTTAAAATAAATGAAAAGCTGATGCTCTGCTTCTGCTCAGTTTTACCCATTTTTTTTCTGTTATCTCGAGATTGGACTAAAAACTTTGTTTCTGTAATGCTGAAAGAACTTATCAACTAGCAAATCACTAGCTCGTATCTAAGTATAACAGAAATAAGTAGAAAAAGAGTAATTTCTTTGAAATACTGGGGTAAAAAAACAGTTCTTTAAGTTTTATACAAGTAATCAATTACTTTGTAAGGCTCCAGGACTTTAGGATAGGTCATCTCTGATTTCATACAAATTAAGGTGGAGCACCAATTTGTTTTACAGCCAGGCTATACCAGGCTATATTGTTATATCTGTCAAAACTTTTCTTCTTATATATATGTGGGCTGAATTTCTTAGTTTTTACGATAGATGACACACTTTTAGCTTAACAGCTTTCCTCCCTCAATTAACATACTTTCAATATGTGAAAGTAATCTAACAATGGCTTTATTAAATCACAGTATTCTTTATATTAGAGTTCTGGCTAATTTACAAACCACTAGAAAATGAAAACTGTTACATGAATTTTAACAGACAATAAGAGGGCTACCAAAAATTACTTTCAAAGTATTGTTAATAAATGTTAGTAAAAGCATCAAGTCAGAACAACAAATGCTATTATCCAAAGATTTAAGACTGAGTTTCTTGCATTTTATCTATCACTATGTAGTAAATTTTACACACATTAAATATAAAGAAAACAGTTTTAAGTTCACCACAGGACTAAGTTACTAAATCAATGGGTCACTAATACATATTTTGGTACTTTAAAAAAATCCTCTCTACTATACTATCTTTTCTGAATTATGAAAACTAGATAAATTAAAGCAAAGATTTTCTTTAACTTTCACCAGCTGAACTTTTCCAGCTGACTTTCAAAACATCTTCCATAAGTCATTTAACATTTGGATCTCAGGATGCCAGAGATTGTCGATTAAATACTACACTCAATTCTGGAGATGTCACATGAAGCAATTGACAAGTTGGTTATCATTCAGTGAAGATTAACCAAGATGGTGCGAAGACTTGAAGCAATGGTTAAAGGAACCAAGTGAGAGAATCTAAGGCAGCCTGAATTCACAAGAAAAAAATATGAGAGGGCTGCATAGAAAAAAAAAAAAACACCAGAGATTGCAAAAGGTTGCCCTCAAGCATTTAGCAGAGTAGAAACCGGTGCATGCGAGGAACTAGCCAAGATACAGGAAAGGATCATCCAAAATAATAGGAGCAAACAGCATCTGATGCTCAACAGGGCTAGAAAATGTGCCTGTTTCCCACCAGCCAGGCTGGAAAACCTCACAATTCAGAGGACACTGGGTAGTCAGAAAGGTCTTGTCTTAGTTAAGTGGAGGGATAAATGGCTCTACACTAAACACTGCTCTGGTCCTGCCTAAGAAAACTTAAAATCAAGACCCCAAAAGACCAAATTGTTTCAAACTAATTTCCCTGTGGTCCCAGAACAAAGCTCAAGGATATTTATTTATTTACTTAGAGAAAGAGTCTCACCGTGTCACCCAGGCTGCAGTGCAATGGCATGGTCTCGGCTCACTGCAACCTCCACCTCTTAGGTTCAAGTGATTCTCCCACCTCAGCCTCCCAAGCAGCTGAGACTACCAGCGTGTGCCAGCACACCCAGCTAATTTCTGTTATTTTTAGTAAGGATGGGGTTTCACTATGTTGGCCAGGCTGATCTCAAACTCCTGACCTTGTGATCTGCCTGCCTCAGCCTCCCAAAGTGCTGGGATTAAAGGCATGAGCCACCGCGCCCTGGACACTCAAGGGTATTTATAGGAACACCTGAGAAGGTAAAATTTACAATGTCTGACATTGATTCAAAAATTAGCAGGCATGAAAAGAAGCAAAACAGAAAGGTAGTAGAAACCTGAAGAAAAATAAATTAACTGAAATAGACCCAGAGTTGACACTGAAGTTACGAGTTGAACAGTTACTACAATAATATTCCATCTGTTTGAAAAGCTAAGTAGAATATGAAAGATAAAACCTATCATCTCTAGATAATATCTAGAGATGAAAACTATAATGTTTGAGATAAAACAATACACAGCATGAAATTGATGGCAAATCAAACATTTTGGAAGAAAAAATTACTAAAATTTAAACTACAAAATAAACTATATAAATGAAATAGAAGAACTGCTAAAAATCAAATGGCACACCAGTGAGCTGTGACAACTTTAAGAAACTTAATATACATGTAATCGATGACTGAAAGGAGAAAGAAAAAAGTGAAGCAATGACAGCTGAAAAAATTCCAAAATTGATCAAACTAAAACCTACAGAACCAAGAAGCTTAATGAACTCCAAGTATAAGAAATACGAAGAAAATGACTCCTAGAACACTACAATAAAGATACTCAAACTTGTGATCAACAGAAAAATTTTAAAGCACTCGAGAAAAAAGAAACATTAAATATAACAAACGAAAGATAAGTATGACATCGGATTTCTTGTTGGAAACAATGCAAGTGAGCAGATAATGAAGCAAAAACTTTAAAGTACTAAAAGAAAAAAACTGTTAACTTAGAATTCTACACTCATTAAAAATGTCTTTCAAAAAGATACCTGCACATGCATATTTATAGCAGCACAATTTGCTACTGCAAAAATATGGAACAAGCCCAATGCCCATCAATCAATGAGGGGATAAAAAAATTGTGGGATATGTATATATACACCATGGACTACTACTCATCCACAAAAAGGAACAATATAATGGCATTTGCAGTGACCTGCAAAGAACCAGAGACCATTATTCTAAGTGAAGTAATATAACCAAGCTTTGTATGTTTTCACTCCGAAGTGGGAGCTAAGCTATGAGGATCCAAAGGCATAAGAATGATACCAGTGGACTTCAGGGACTCGGAGGAAAGGGTGGGAGAGGGGGTAAGGGATAAAACCCTACGAACTGGGTAGACTATACACTGCTGAGGTGATGGGTGCACCAAAATCTCAGAAATCACCACTAAGGAACATATTCATGTAACCAAACACAACCTGCTCCCCTCAAAACCTATGGAAATAAAAAATAAAAATAAAAAGCAAAAAATTTTTTTTAAGACTTTCAAAAATGAAAGTGAAACAAATACTTTTTCTGATATGCAAAAACTGAAGGTATTTATCACCAGCAAATGCTATCATTTAAATATCCCTCCAAGTCTCATGTTGGAATTTAACTGCAATTGTGATGGTATTAAGAGGTAAGACCTTTAAGAGGTGATTAGGTTACAAAGGATCCAACCTCATATCACAGTGGTGGGCTCCTGATAAAAGCATAAGTTAGCCCCCTTTCTCTCTGTCTCAAGCATTCTCACCTACTCTTACCCTGCTCATCATGTGATGCATCCTGCCACGGCATGACCCTCACTAGATGCCAGTGCCATGCTTTTGGACTTCCCAGCCTTCAGAACTGTGAGCCCAATAAACTTCTATTCTTTATAAATACATAATCTGTGACATTTCTGTTATAGCAACAGAAAACAGACTAAGAACAAAATATGGATTCAAGGGAACAAAGAGCAGCAAAAATAACAACATCTGTCTTATTATTTAAATATCTTTAAAAGATAATTGGCTGTTCAAACAAAAATAATATAAAACATTATGGAGCTTGTATTTAATAACATAAATATAAGTAAAACGTAAACCAACAGTAGTATAAAGGCCAGGAGTGGAGAAATGTTAAGAATACTATTATAAGGTTCTTGTATGAAATGGTGTATCTACTATCACTTGAAGACAAACTCTGATAACACAGCTGTCAATAATAATGAATATAAATGACCTAAGCACATCAATTAAAAGGCAGAGATAGACTGAATTTTAAAACATCAAGATCTAATTATATTCTGCCTAGTAAAAAACCTTCCACCTAACTTTTCCCACAGAATTCAAATTTATTTTCCTAAATGTCAAGCTCGTAGATGTAGCCTAAATGTGCAAGCTTTTCCCCAAATTTCTCTACCTGCTCTACCCGAGTAAGATACGGCTTTTTTTTCTTTTTAACTTTGACTTAAGATTCAGGGAGTACATGTGCAAGTTTGTTACCTGGGTATGTTGCATGATGCTGAGGTTTGCCGTATGAATTATTCCACTGCCCAGGTACTGAGTACAATACCCAACAGTTAGTTTTTCAACACCTACCACCTCCCTCCCTCATCAGTATAGCAGTCTTCAGTGTCTACTGTTATCATCTTTACATCCATGAGTAACTGATGTTTAATTCCCACTTGTAAGTGAGAACATTCAGTATTTGATTTTCTGTTCCTACATTAGTTCACTTGGGACAGGTGTCCCCAAACTTTTTACACAGGGGGCCAGTTCACTGTCCCTCAGACCGCTAGAGGGCTGCCACATACTGTGCTCCTCTCACTGACAACCAATGAAAGAGGTGCCCCTTCCTGAAGTACGGCGGGGGGCCGGATAAATGGCCTCAGGGGGCCGCATGCGGCCCATGGGCCATAGTTTGAGAACGCCTGACTTAGGATATTATCCTCCAGCTGCATCCATGTTACTGCAAAGGATATGATTTCATTCCTTTTTTTATGGCTGCATAGTA